GCCTTTTTTCAGTGTGACTGCTCCTGTTCTGCGGAACAGCATCCCTGTCAAGATATGACAGGCACCCATTTCCTGCACTTTCTGGAAACATTTTTGTTCTAAAAGACTTTCCAGCTGGATCAATGGGTCTTTACCATGAGTGTCTACTTCATTAGTGTTTTAGTCTTGCTTTAAATGTGTGGGGTTTTTTGTTTTTGCATTTTAAATTATTGTATGTGGATTTGCCTTGAGGCAATGGCATCTGCCCTGCATATAGAAGGTCCCAAGTGTCTCCAGTGAGGGCTGGGAGAGATTCTTGCCTAAATTCTGGAGAACCACTATCAGGCAGTGTCAACAATTCTGAGGCAGATGGGCCAATGTTCTGACTGTGGGATGTAATCAATTGGAGCCGTCAAATACAACATTCCTTGTTTCCCTAGAGTGGACGGAGGCAGGGGGTGTTACTCCAGCTGATATAACTTCCTATTCCACTGGTCTGATGTGTCCTCCCCCTGTTTGTGACCAGGCAGATGGGCGTGACCCTGGCTCACTCCACAAAAGAGCCGAGTCACACAGCCATCTTTCTCTTGATGTCATTTTCTCTCTTGATGCTATTTTCTTCCCTTGATGCTGTTCTCTTAATGTATTTTGCCATCTGCTGGCTCTCACATGGGCTCAATCCCCAAATGGGATGAACACACAATTTGTTCTGTAACTACTAGCTAAAGCCTGCCTTCAGTCATCATACTGTGAACTAAATGTGAGTGAACTTATTACTTTTAAGGAAGATGTCTTTATTCTTTTAAGAGGGATCAAAGGGGACACCAGAAGAAGAAGAGGAAGAAGAGTTTGGATTTGATATCCCACAAACCAGACTGGACTGCTTAACTAAAGAGATTCAAATGAATCTGCAAACTAGCTTCCTGATGTATTGAGGGGAATCTGCTCTGCTCCATGACTCACTAGTGTGAGTGAAGGAAGGATAATATTTAATCAATATATCCACTCCTACTATCCTTAATATTCCCACACTGACAAGGCAGCTTCGTGTGCTCCTATGATACCTCACATAACACAGATGGGAGGAGGAGGTAGTCACCTTGTGCCAGAAAGATCAAAATGTGGGCACTAGGCATACCTCTCTGGAGAAGGCATTACTTAGTCTGTGTGTACCACTGAAAATACACGCTCTCTGGCCACCTCACTGTTTATTTTCTCAGGCTTTGAAATTTTAAATTCCATTTTATTTTATTTTATTTATTTGCATATATGATGATTATGGTGATGTTGCCATAGGGTGGGCTACAACAATTCAGAATTAAAATTGTAAATTTCAAATAGATTGAATTGCAAACAAACAACTAAAATATCCTTATGTGTTCGGTTCATTGATTTTTCATAAATGACTGCCAAACTGAAGTATCAGTGGTTGAGCTCTCTTACACAACTCAGATAGAAGGATTGTTAGGTTGAGATGAAAGCATATTTGTGGCAATGGCCAGGGGTGGGGTGGGGGTGGTAGTGTGGTTAGCAGCAGCCTTGTGTTATTGACAAAGCTTTGTGGGATTGTGAATCAATAGGTGGGAGGGGAGTTGTGCCACAAGATGCAGGTATGTAGCCAGGACCAGGAACACCTGTATTATGTCTGGAGTAGCAGGTGGCATTTCAGTTTTACTGTGGGAGTCTTTTCTGGAGAAGAATGGGCAAGGCTTTCATGCTTGTGCCTGTGTTTTATTTTCCTTCCTGTTTGAGACCTGGAAACCAGCTGTTAACCAAAGCTGCTCCAGCGTGAGAACCTGCGGGGGTTTTACATGATACTGTGTTTGGAACTGAAGGGAAGGCATGATCTGAAAGCTTGGGCTTCCATTGTCTGCCTTCTGAGGCTCCCTCTGACATAAGGCTTGCTCGTTGTGGGAGGATAAAAAAGGTAAAGGTACTCCTGCCCGTACGGGTCAGTCGTGTCTGACTCTAGGGTTGTGTGCTCATCTTACTCTAGAGGCCGTGAGCCGGCACCGTCCGAAGACACTTCCGGGTCACGTGGCCAGCGTGACGAAGCTGCAGCTGGTGAGCCAGCACAGCACACGGAAACGCCGTTTACCTTCCCACTATAAAGCGGTACCTATTTATCTACTTGCACTTAAGAGTGCTTTCGAACTGCTAGGTGGGCAGGAGCTGGGACCGAACGGCTGGAGCTCACCCCGCCGCGGGGATTCGAACCGCCGACCTTACGATCAGCAGGTCCTAGGCACTGAGGTTTTACCCACAGCGCCACCCGCGTGTGGGAGGATACCTGCCCCTTAAATCGATTCTGCTGTCCTTTTTAGAATTTAGTAACTATAAATATAAAAATACCTTGAAAACAATCCCTCTGCCATTTTAATAGGCAGAGTTGAAATCATTAGTTTGTCTAAGAAGGGGGTTCTGATTCTTGACTTCTCTCAGCCACAGACTCTCCCTGCTCACTAAACATTGTTACCTCTTTGGCTCCTGACACCTCCTCCCCATCTTCTCCCTCCTCTGCCCACAAATCATTGTCCCACCACCAATCCCCTGGCTTTGAGCCTTCATCCTTTGGGGGTTCCCCAGATGGTGCCTTCTACCACTCCTTCGCTTCGAGCCAGTCCATGACATTATGGTAACATGAAGCATGCGTCCATCAGTTTATACCAGTGAAATATCTATGCTTCCAGTGATTGTCATTCAAACCAAGGAAGGTTGTTTCAAGTGTTACACATCATGTCATCTATAGTCACATCTTTAGCAACACCCTGAGATACTCTTGAGTTTTAACAATTCAATCAGCAGATCAATCAACTAGAAATGTACGTGATTAAGTAGACGACCAATTTTAATCAGTGAGGGCAATTTTAATTGGTTGCATAGAGAATTATGGTCATGCCTATTTATATTTTTAAGGCTCCCGAGTCTGGTGTTTTGTTGTAGCAGAGGATATATATATATATATATATATATATATATATATATATATATATATATATGCAGGTTTTGGTGTCCTCGGGTGTCTTCCCGTGTAAAAGTTGGGGTGTCTAGGCGACGTTTCGACGAGGTCTCACTCGTCATCTTCAGGCTGGTGCTTTCGGCTTCTTGTTACTGGAACAGAGCAGGATCTCAGTGTTTGAGTTCCTATAAATACTGTTGAGGGGGTGTGGTGTATAGCCTCCAATGTTCTGGGCAGAGAGGAAGTTCCCAGGCTAGTGTGCCTTTTCTTCTTTTGTTCCTTAATTACTTGAGGGATATCTTGAGTGATTTCTTGAGTGATATCCTGAGTACCACTTAGGTGGGTCATTAGGTGTGGATTAGTTGCTAAAGCCTTCGTGTCTTGACCTCTTGAACTTTGTGAAGAGTTTTTCTGAGAAGATGGCTGTATTGCATTTAGTTGTGCTCTGGCTTGGCTTCGTGTATAGGGGCGAGCTGTGGTTTTGTGTCCTGTGCCAGCCAGATCTGTGTAGGGATTGCAGGGGGGTGCAGCAGATAAAATTAGCAAAATCCTCCATAAACACAATATCAAAACAGCCTTTTGCACCAACCAAAAAATAGCCAATATCCTCAGAAACCCCAAGGATAAAATCCAGTTGGAAAACCAAGGGGTCTATGAAATACCCTGCAAAGTCTGCCCAGCCACGTACATTGGACAAACAAACAGACGAATAAATGCACGTATCGCAGAACACAAGAATGCCGTCAAAAAAGAAGAAAAAACTTCCTCTCTTTTCCAACACATGAAAGAAACAGGACACGAAATTAATTTTGCAGATTCCAAATTGCTCTCTAACATGGAACATCACCACAAGAGAATAATCATGGAAGCCATCGAGATAGAGAAACACCCTCACAACATGAACAAGCGTGACGACACATCCCGCCTGCCAGACATCTGGAAATTAGCCCTCCCCACAAAAACCGACACCAGATCCAGAGGCACACAGAACGCCATCACCAATCAACCACACCAGACCCAAACCCAGACCCTCTCCACAGATAAATTACAGACACCATCCAGTAGCCAAACCATGGTGGCACCTCCGGATGCTGCACCCCCCTGCAATCCCTACACAGATCTGGCTGGCACAGGACACAAAACCACAGCTCGCCCCTATACACGAAGCCAAGCCAGAGCACAACTAAATGCAATACAGCCATCTTCTCAGAAAAACTCTTCACAAAGTTCAAGAGGTCAAGACACGAAGGCTTTAGCAACTAATCCACACCTAATGACCCACCTAAGTGGTACTCAGGATATCACTCAAGAAATCACTCAAGATATCCCTCAAGTAATTAAGGAACAAAAGAAGAAAAGGCACACTAGCCTGGGAACTTCCTCTCTGCCCAGAACATTGGAGGCTATACACCACACCCCCTCAACAGTATTTATAGGAACTCAAACACTGAGATCCTGCTCTGTTCCAGTAACAAGAAGCCGAAAGCACCAGCCTGAAGATGACGAGTGAGACCTCGTCGAAACGTCGCCTAGACACCCCAACTTTTACACGGGAAGACACCCGAGGACACCAAAACCTGCATTCCTGTACCCGTGAAAATCTACGAAAGCATATATATATATATATATATATATGAAAACTGACTTTTCCTTCCACCAACGAGCCTTTGTTTATTAAGTTGTAAGGTATATCTCACACTTCCTTTGCTGTTTAAAGAAAGGCACCTACCAAGTTATTGGAAATAATGCAGATCTGTGCAAATTTAATTGAGTAACCAATTACAAGGGCAGATGGTTAATCAACAAAAATGATTTAATCAGTTGACAGCTCTAGGAGTTGCATTGGGGGACAACAACAACAACAACAAAAAGTATTCTCAGCATTGCTTGTCAAAGCAACTAGAAAGCTCCAGGTGTTCAATGGAGAGGCCCACCTGCAGATCTGGCCACCTGTGCTGTTGAGAGGACTGCTTCAAAGTGCACAATTTAAACTGCAGCAGCAAAGGTGGTCTGGAAGGCTGCCAGAACTTTTATCCACTGTGCTCCTTCTCTTCTCTTCCAGGTCAGGGATTTATGAGTGATGATGAGTACTTAGAGATCACGGGGATCACCAGGGACCAATCTGGGGAGTATGAATGCAGCGCTGTTAATGATGTCGCCGCACCTGATATCCGAAGAGTCAAAGTCACCGTAAACTGTAAGTATCCCACATGCCTATGAATAACATTGACTTGCACTTACATCAGGGGTTGGAAACCACAGGCCTCGGGGGGCAAATGTGGCCTGCCAAGCCTCTCTGTTTGGCCACCAGCACTCTGCCTAGGACATGGCAAGTCATGCCTTGAGTGCTTCTGCCTGTCTGGAATTTGCCCTTGAACCATGACCATGCTGGACTAAATGGAGAGGGGTCTCTATGTACATTTTCAGAAGCCTATGGGTCACGAGCTTGCCATACTAAGAACAAACAAAGAGCCTGCTGGATTAGGCCACTGGCCCTTCTAGTTCAGCATCCTGTTCTCACAGGGGACAACCAGATGCCCCAGTGGAAACTCCACAAGCAAGACCTAAGCACAAGAGCACTCTCCTCTCTTGCAGTTTCCAGCAGCTGGTATTCAGAAGCATTACTGCCTCTAACAGTAAAGACATAGCAGAGCCATCATGGCTGGTAGCCACTAGTAGCCCTCTCCTCCTCCATGAATTTGTCTAATCTAGACAAATCACACTAGAGCCAGTGTGGTGTAGTGGTTAAGAGCAGTAGTCTCGTAATCTGGGGAACCGGGTTCACTTCCCCGCTCCTCCACATGCAGCTGCTGGGTGACCTTGGGCTACTCACACTTCTTTGAAGTCTCTCAGCCCCACTCACCTCACAGAGTGTTTGTTGTGAGGGAGGAAGGGAAAGGAGAATGTTAGCCGCTTTGAGACTCCTTAAAAGGGAGTGAAAGGCGGGATATCAAATCCAAGCTCTTAATCCTTTTTAAAGTCACCCAAGTTGGTGGCAGTCACTGCCTCCTGTGGGAGAGACTTCCATAGGCGATATGCAAATCCATTTCCACACCCATTTTTGCTCCTGGCCCTATATATCATTGGCATGTGGCCAATCGACAGAGTAATTTTGCCCTCAGTCTGAAAAGGATTCCCTGCCCCCGAGTGCTTTTCAAAACCTATTCCATACATTGTCCCCCTGATCTTTACAACAATCCTGAGAGGCCTGCCATTGCTTTCATCCTCATATTGCAGAATGGGATTCTAATCAAACTCACTTCTGCACCAACTCATGTCCCCACCTCCACATTCAGCTGAATGTGCAGATCCCACCAGCTCATCTTCATGATACGCTGGGCCAGAATTGCACCCCAAGGATCCTAAACATGAGTAGGTTGTATATTCGCATATTCTGATTTAATAGCTGGAAATATATGCACGCAAAAGTAAAACAGCCAATTTCCACCAGAACCTCTTAAAGTCTATTTATAGCTGGAAATAATTGTAATAGCTCCCCCCCTTCTCTCTCTCTCTATTGCTTTCTTCTTTCTTTCCTGAGGAGCAATTCAATTTTTTATTTTTTTAAAAGGGGGTAGGTTGGAGGAGAAAGAGAGAATCTTGGTGGTTAACCTTGCACACAATGCATTAAGAAATCCTCGCCTTTCAGAAGCAGAGCGCAGGAGTTTATATATATCAGCTAAATTGATACAAGAAAATCATATATATACATTTCATTATGTTTCAAGCCTTTTGGCCCTCTGGACAATTTGCTCTTTTAAGAGCTTGGCTAGCAATGCAGAGCCCGGCTGCTTTGAGTTCTTAAAACAGACACATCCCCGAAGCCTCTTGACATTTAGGAGGTGATTCCAGCTCCGCTGAGTCTCTGAACAGTTTAAAAGAAATCCGTAAAGGAGAATTCAGTCCTATTAATTGCACAGAAAGGACTCTGCGAGTTGTTGGCTTAGGGATGGATGTGGAAATGTAGGACCGTGTTCACCCTCGCAATGCCAGCTGGGCAGAATGTTCTGTTTCAACCAGGCCTGTGAAGCTGAAGACCTATAAGAGCAATTGCAACAGAGTCTGTGCTGCATCAAGCCAAAGGGGGCTCATCCAGCATCCTGTTCTCACAGTGGCATGCCAAATGCTTGAGGTAAACCTGCAAGCAGAATTTGAGCATAAACATACCCTTCCTCTTCTGTGGTTTCCAGTTGCTGGTATTTAAAAGCATTGCTGCCTCCAACTGTGAAGGCAAAGCATAGTCATCATGTCTAGTAGCCATTGGCAGCCATCTCCTCCATGAATTTTGTCCAATCTCCTTTTAACACCATCTATCTTGGTGACCATCGCTGCCTCCTGTGGGAGCAAGCTCCATAGTTTAACTATGTGCTATGTGAAGAAGTCCTTTCTTGTATCTGTCCTGAGTCTTCCAATATTCTGCTTCACTGGATGGCTACAAGTTCTAGTGTTCTGAGAGGAGAAAAGCTTTTCTCTATCCACTTAATCCATTCCATGCATAATTTTACACATTCCTATCATGCAGCACCCTTTCTCCCACCCCTCAGTTGCTTGCAATCTTTCCCCACCTCTTGAAGTTCCCACAAAGGCACACTCAAGCCCACAAGAACATAGAAAGCTGTCTGCTGGATCAGGCCAATGGTCCACTGACTGCAGCATCCTGTTCTCAACAATGGCCACCTGGATGCCTGTGGGAGGCCTGCAAGGAGGAAAATAATAATAATAATAATAATAATAATAATAATAGTAATAATAATAGTTATTTATACCCTGCCCATTTGGCTGGTTTTCCCCAGCCACTCTGGGTGGCTTACAGCACATTAAAAAATTGTAAAACATTAAACATTAAAAATTTCTCAATACAGGGTTGCCTTCAGATGTCTTCTGAAAGTCACATAGTTCTTTATTTCCTTGACATCTGACAGGAGGGCGTTCCACAGGGCAAGCGCCACTACCGAGAAGGCCCTTTGCCTGGTTCCCTGTAATCTCACTTCTTGCAGTGAGAGAACCACCAGAAGGCCCTCAGAGCTGTACCTCAGGAGCTGAACAAGGGAGGTGGAGATGCTCCTTCATGTATATGAGCACAAGAGCGCTCTCCTCCTGCAGTTTCTATCAAGTGGTATTCAGAAGCATTGTTGCCCCTGACTAAGCCCATCAAAAGCCTAATGAGGAATAGGGATAACCTATAGCTTTATCTGCACTGCTCTTTGTTGTAAGAAAAACTGCTCCCTTTCCCTTATGGGGTTCCCAAGAACCCGTATAGAGCCTTTATGTAGGTTCTCTATCGGCAGGAGAAAATAACAGAGGCCAACCAGAGAATATTGAGAAGCAAAGCAGCTAGTAAGCCTGATCTTTATTAAACTGTTGCAACAGGGTGCTCACCCCCCCCACCACAGGAGGGAGGAGGAATGGTGTGCAAGCCCTTATATAGGCTTTGGAATTGCCACCCTGTAGCTCAAGACCATCCCCACCCCCCAATACATCATCAGAAGGGGCGGTCTATCACAGAAAGGGAGCCGGCGTACAGCTTTCGGGTCATGTGGCCAGCATGACTAAGACGCTTCTGGTGAACCAGAGCACCACACTGAAACGCCGTTTTCCTTCCCACCGAAGCGGTACCTATTTATCTACTTGCACTTTGACGTGCTTTCAAGCTGCTAGGTTGGCAGGAGCAGGGACAGGACAACGGGAGCTCACTCCGTCGCAGGGATTCGAACTGCTGACCTTCTGATCGGCAAGCCCTAGGCTATGGGGGTTTACCACGTCCAGTTAATGGGTTTAACTGTTAATGGGTTACCTGGACAGCCTGAGCCTTCTTTTGTGATGATAAATACTTAATTCCTACAGGCTCACCCTATTCATACACAAATGTGCCCTTAAGGCAGGATTTGTGAGCACAGAGACAATGGGGAGGCTTTTCCCATTTCCATCCAAACTGAAGAGGAATATTTGAGGTCACTGAAAGCGTCAAAATGGCTTTAGGACTGTTTTCCTGTACTGTTTCAGACATGTGGTTTATATATTTATGTATGTGTTTGCCTGGTATATTTATGAACATATGATTTTTATATATGAGACCTTAGAAATCCTATAACACTCTTCACCTCCCTAGATTCAGAAATGTATGGCTGAATTGGCACTGGTGTTTGGCTGCTCCAGACTGGGGAAGGCAAACAAGCAGCCACACTGCACAGCCCACTCCATCACTGGAGTTGCTGGGGGAGTGAAAACCTCATGTGCTGATCCCACGAAAGACAGCAAGGCATAGTAGAAATTAGGCAGAGGTAAAGGACAGAAGTGATGCTTAAAAAAATCTCAGACCTGCTTTCCCTCCGCAGATCCTCCGTCCATCTCCAGTGCCAAGAACAAAGGCGTCTCAGTTGGTCAGAGGGGGACCCTGTCCTGCGAAGCCTCAGCTGTCCCTGTAGCGGAATTTCAGTGGTTTAAAGAAGAAACCAGGTACGCAAGCAAGCTGTTCAAAGGATCCATGGCAAGGAGTGACTCCCCCAGGCCAAGATTGCTCCATCAGTCAGATCAGCAGTGTTTGCTTTGAGATACGAGTCAGCCCTCATGGAATGCCCAGGCTCAATCCTAGTGGGTGTGAAGTTGCAAGAGTGCCTTTGAGCATGTGCAGAGGGTCTTTGAAACTGAGTAGTTGCATACAAGCCCACCCCAATATATCTCTGCCATGAAGGGGTTCTAAATTAAAGGGCACTGGTTTCAGGCAGGCTTTGCTTCTGCCTTGCTTCTGAAATTAAATGTTGCACATCTAGGGGGACTCGTGATCAGAAAGCAATCCCTCCCTGTGCCCATACCTCTCCCCAATCTTCCTTACAGCAATCCTCCAGTCTCAATATTTCATATTAAAATAAAACAACAGACTAAAGGATTGCAATGTTTTAGGGATTGAGATTGCATTGGTTTAATTTGCTTACCTTGTTTCTTGAAGCCCATCAGAAGGTTGCATATGATATGGGGCATGATAGAAACTAAAAGCAAAATAAATGCTACATATTTTTAGCAATTATTTCCTGTGCAATTTCAGCTTGACTGTATTGTCACTTGGCTGTTGCAGGTTTTCACCCTGCTTTGTATACTTTGCCCAGTAGACAGTTGGGGAGGGTGTGTGTGAATGAGTGGCCCTCCAGGCATTGTTGGACTACAACTTCCATCATCCAACAGGACACAATGGCTGGGGCTGTAGTTCAACATCTGGAGGGGCGCAGGTTCTCCAGCCCTGAAGTTTGCTCCTGAGTCCTTGAAAAACCAGTCAAAGTGGAATAAAGTGCTTCTTAAATTCATTGCCGACCACCAAAAACAAGCACCATACTTCTACTTCCCTCCTGGGCAAAGTTTAGTAGATGTTGCCTTGCAATGTCAGATCATTCTGCTTTGCATCCAATGCTGGTAGAACCCTTGAAGTTAATGAACGTGACTAACTTAGGCCCATCAGTTCCATTGTGCCTACACTGAGTACGACTTTGTTGGATATAGCCCCCCTGTATTTCCCAAAGCCCAATTGACTGGTGCCATTGGCAAGGAAAGAGGAATTCTAGGAAATGTAGAATGCTGTGTTGTCATGATGCAAGCTCTATAACATGCCACAAAATGGAACTAGGCAGTCTAGTGTAGTGGTTAGAGTGTCCAACTCAGATTTGAGAGACTTGGCTTCTAAAGCCAAACACAGCCATGATGCTCAATGGGCCAGACAGCATTGCACACCCTGGTCTACCTCCTAGGGTTGTTGTGAGGATAAGAAGTGAACACCGGGTGTGACACTCTGAGCTCTTCAGAGGAATGGTAAAAAATATAACAGCTAGCAATGATGCTTATTATTGGTGCTTTACAAATTATGGCTTGTATCCTACTCAGAGTAGACCCACTAGAGTTAATTGTATGACCCATATCTTTAAAATAATAAAGTTTATCATATAATGTCTGCTATGGCCCTTAAAAAGTGCCCTTTTCCAGGCCTTTGGAGAACCTTTTGATCTGAGATGGTGGAGCAAAAACAGAGCCCAAGAGCCTGTGGTGACTACAGTTCCCAGCAGTCCTAGCCAGCTGGGTGATGGGCATTGTAGTTCAGAACAATCTGGAGGGTCACAGGCACCCCATCATTGGGATAAAACCAATCTCTGCATTATACCCCATCCCTTCATAATCCTGGGAAGGAAATAAATCCCACTTCTAGTTTACATTGATGAAGTAAGGATGTTGTCTTCTTCCAGATTAGCCAATGGGCTGGATGGCGTGAGAATTGAGAACAAAGGCCGGATGTCCACACTAACCTTCTTCAATGTATCAGAGAAGGATTATGGCAACTACACCTGTGTGGCCATCAACAAGCTGGGAAACACCAATGCCAGTATAATCCTGTATGGTAGGTACCCATTCCATTGGGATACGTGGAGACTCTGTGCTGATGAGATAACAGTGGAGCCTTGCTAGAAGGGATTTCAAAGACAGGAAAACATCTCCGGTGACCCTTGACCATGAAACCCCTTTGCAGTGGCCATCCTATCATTGCATAGCGGGGTTTGTCCTAGGCTGAAATCTCTAGGATAGGCCAGATTTAAGAATATTACCTAGCAGAGTTTGTTGGGGAACAAACAGTGCAGTCCTAAGCTTATTGCTTCAGAAGTTAAGTTTCACTGAGTTCAACAAGATTTGCTCCCTGGATCGCAGCCTAAAGGTTTTCCTTTCCAAGGACTGGAACGTTTGCGGTTTCGTGTTTTCATCTTACGAGAAACTGGGAGTTTTCATAAGGCATTAAGGGTAACAGCAGTTAAACAGGATACTCCCAGCAACATCCTCTCACGCTTGAAGCTTTAAGTATATTAAAGTAGCTGCAGGGTAAAGGGTCTTCAAGGAACACATCAGACCAGCAGCAGCGCCTTCAGTTCTTATATCCTCTCACCTATTAGGCTGCAGTTGAAGCAAGGATCTGGGGACTCAGCAGACACTCGGTTTAACCCCAGCAGGCTAGGCTTACTTCCCATTCCCCATGGCTTTCCAAACCACAGAGCGAATGCACCAGCTGGAAACCTTGGGAAACCCAAGGCATTTTCTGATGTTGGGTTGTCAAAACAGATGCACAGAGATTCTTGTAGATGCTGTCAGTGCTTAGATGGTTGCCATACACCCTCTGTGGCAGTGTTACATGTTGTCATGTCTGTCACATCCTTATTATCATTGCTGTGATCTCTGTTTACATAAAACGGGCCGTCTTTCTAATAATCCATCTGTTCATTCATTCATTCATTCAACTGTCTGAAAATATGAACTACATTTTCTTTCCTTTTCTTTCCTTTTCCTGTTTCCCCCTTCCTGTGTGTCCATTGTGTCTTCTGTTTTAGAGATAAGTGAATCTCCACCACTAGCAGGTTGGTACAAGCATGGCTCCTTCCTTCATTTGCTTGCAGCAAACTCAACGCCGCTTTGCAGTAAAGGAGAGAGGGCTTTCTTCTCAGATGGATGTTACGGGTGGGGAAGCCTGGCTGGTGCGCTATTGGAACGAAGGAACTAAGGCCTGTGGGGTTTGTGGGAGGCATTTTAGCTTCAGGAACATCTTCCTGCATCCTCTTATTCGCAGAGCTCACCTATATCAGTGGTTGTCAGTCATGATAACTGAGTGCTGTAACAAAATGTTGCAGGTCGTGTCCTTACCTCCCAGAAAGATCACTGCAGCTAAAGATGGGGGAGAAATTTGAACCAATTCACCTTTAAAGTCAAGACAATTTCCAAAATAATATGCCCGTGTGGAACGCCGCCAAATTCTTTGAAATGCACACTTCTAAGTTTGAAATATGCCTCGTGAGTACTAGGTTTAAGGCAGCAATCAAGTAAAACAGCTATTGCCTCCATGGACTGCCTTGTGGGCAACTGGTTGCCTATGGAGGAAGTATATGTTGGTATGCAACCAAGGAAACGGGGGCAATTGGCAGGCCCCCAGCTAGTTCCAGCCCACCGGCCGGTGTGCCAGACAATCTCCAGTCCTTGATGCAGCATCTGCGACCCAAGCTTCAGTAGCTAGAGCATGCTACACAGCAGAGTAAACGCTATTCAACAGAAGTGGCAGGAGAAGTTGTGTAAGCACATTTACAAGCAGTTTATTCAGCATACATCAGGACAAAAGGAAACATGTCTGATCTCCTTCTTGTCCGAAGCAAGACAGCTAAAGCAAAAGCTATACACAAACGGAAGTTCCCAGCAAGCTGTGCTGGAATGTAAACAGACATGTGACACACAACAATCACGCCTGTTCTTAATGTGGAACGGAATATCCCAACAGTATAGATTTCTGGACTAGATAAACCTTTGCTCTCATCCCACCGTGTTTTGCTTGCTACCATTGGAAACCCTAACTATGGAAATCGCTCCCACATGATGCAGTGAAGGCCCTCAACCATGGTGGGTTTAAAAGAGGATTAGACAAATTCATGGAAGAGAGGGCTATTGATGGCTACTAGCCAGGATAGCTATCCTCTGCCTCCACAGTTGGAGGCAGCAATGCTTCTGAATAGCAGTTGCTGGAAACCAGAGGAGGGCAGAGGGCTCTTGTGCTTGAATGGCACCTGCTTGGCCAATGAGAACAGGATGCTGTACTGGATGGACCATTGGTCTGATCCAGCAGGCTGTTCTTATGTTACCTGTTGCATAGAATTTTGGAAGGCCTTCTAGGGCACAATGCCTTACTGCTGCTCCTTGGGAATGGAGAGCCCACTGTCGAGGAAGTTCAGCACTCCCCTGTGGCTTCAAAGTGCACAGAGAAGATCAACAACGGCGGACAGGCTGCCTGCCTGCTACTTCATCTGCTCCAAATGATGTTTATTTGTATAGCACTTAAATCTAAGTGCTGCACTGAGATTTTCTCTCTTTTTAAAAGCTAAATATTGACACTGCAAGAGAGGGAAGGAACTGGAAGGGCAAAGGGAGAACTAATATATGCAAGGAATGTTTTCTGCATGTAGCAGCCCACTTTCACAAAAGCTGATGCTCATGATTATGAGATAGGGACGAGGGAGATATCTGATTCAGTTCACATTTAAAAGCGAATTTAGCAGCTTTCTGAAACAGTAACAGAACCAAAACACAGCCATCCTTTGAAATTTGCATTTAACCAGATTTTGCAGTGACGTTCCCCAACAATGTTTACAAAATGCATCTAAAAGTGTGCATGGAAATGTATTGGTGAAAATAACATGCAAAATGCATCATATTAGGGGAAATTGCTTGCAAAACTATGCATGTTAGTCAAAGGTGCATATGGGAGGAAAAGGGGGCTTATTTGGAGAAATCCACACTAAAGTGCTAAATAATTTCCTTGAACATCTTTGGAAAAATGAGAAACAGAGAGACCCTAAATTGGCAGATCGACCCATCCCTACTACCCAAATTATAGCCTCTGTGTGTGTGTTTTCTTGATTTTCAGTTTCAAATGAATTATATATAAAAATGGGGAAAATAATAATGTAAACAATAACAACAACATGTCGGGGTAGAGAGCAATCCCTCCCAAAAATGAAAATATAACGGAAGCAATCCCAGTTATGGTTCTTTGCATGTAAAGTAGTCAGAGAGGAAGGATTCTGTAGCAGTGCTTTCTCTTTGAGATACTCCTGCTAAACTTCTGCTAAATCTCAGCCAACCTTCCGGGAACACAATATTAAAACACAGAGCCAGACTAGAGAGATGGAGAGTATTGATAGAACTGACGTCTCTCTCTGTTTCTGTACATAAGCCTAAGGTCACAGTGACATCTGTTTCTCAAGTGCCTGCCTGAAATAAAGACCTTGAGTGTTTTGATGCATCACCCACCTGACTCAGGGTTATTCCGTGCTGACTTCCGAGCAGCTGTCCAATTGTATAAGCTATGGCAATGGTAGAGGGGTTTGGGGGTTTTTGGGGGGTGGGGGTATATTTTAACATATTGAAATGTTATTTTTTGTATTTTTCAACACACCCAAATCCTCAAAATGGAATCGAATGCACATGTTTTCAACAAGTCCAGCTTTTAAAGTACAGGTGGGAAGCCTGTGGCCTCCCAGATGTAGCTGGACTACAATTCCCATCATGCATTTCCACATTGGAAAAGAGTCATAGTAACTTGCTCTTATCAAACAATCACAACTGTGTCTTCCTCCATATCAAGTGTGGGGAACCTTTGGCCTTCCAAATGTTGCTGAACTACAACTCCCATCATCCCCGGCCATTGAACATGCTTGATAGGGCTGATGAAGGTGTAGTTCGGCCACATCTGGAGGGCAAAAGTTTTCCTGATGCTTGCATTATGCTATCTGACAGTGGCTCGGGTTGCTAATAACCCTGAGATCTGAAACCATTCAAGTCAGAAGTGCCCACGTAATGAAAACTGCTCAGTTATGGGAAGCTGTCATTATTCCATGTTTTCAGATAGAAAGAGGGCCTTTCCGTTTCACCTTAAATGAGGATTTCCCCACTGCCATCTCAAGTTTCGTTACGGAGGAGGGATTGAATCATAGGGCTGGCTTTCTTTTGGCTGACAGCAGCACTGATAGATTCCGTTACATTTTCCCCAACCTGCAAAATGTCAACCCATTAGAAAAAAAATGCAGACATTTCACATTTTATTTCTGATGACTATTCTCTACCCCAGCCCCTTCTTCCCGAATCATTGGCATCTGGTTATTAGTCGTAGCATTCCTAGTTCTGACACAGTCAGTTCAGCATTTGCTAATGTCAGCAGAGACACAGAGCATTGCTGTCTCCCCCCCCCCACTCCACCTTTCCCTTTCTTTGCAGAATGGTGCTGCCTTTGGCTCCAGACTTGAATTAGCCTCCCCCTCCTCTATAGAAAGACTCACAAACACTTCCAATCTCAGCGTTGAATGAGCACAAACCATATTTGATTTCCAAGTACCAAGGAAAGAAAGACACACACACACACACACACACACAAAAAGAAGAACGCTGAATTCCCCTTAACAACAAAACTCATTTGAATTGCTCTACAAAGATTGTCTGGGTAGATGCTCGTGAACACAATGCTGCATTCTGTTGTAATTAAGCAAAATAAAAGTTCTGTTTGCGATGAAACAATTTGGCTAAGCTGGTTTTTCATTGCAGAAAATGGGTTTGTAACTCTCCACTTATTCAGGAACACAGGAGCTAATTAGATTCTCTCCTGCCATTATTTTTAATTTTTTGCCGTTACAATAGTTGTTATCCCCTTGTCTTAAAATTAATGAGGTTAGAAAGCTCACTTCTTGTTCCTTTTTAAAGTTCAGGTTGCGGCTGAGCATCTAGAAATTTAACTTGGCGCATAATTATGCACCGAGGATTCTTTTCCTGCCTTTCTCTCCCCTGAATCTCTTTTCTTTAAAGAATCCTTTGATTTTTGCTGCGATTTTTGCTGATTGCATTTATTTAAGAGCGATGAAGGGGAATTGTTAGGCGCATCATAAACAGGCTAGATCTTCAGCGTTAAAAAAACATGGGTCAAATTTGTATCGAGCAGCTCAAAAATTATGGATTCCCCCTTCAGTTCTGCCTATACAAATGGCCAACACAATTTGGGGGTTCTTTTAGTGAATCCCAACATAAATGTTTATCTGAATGCAGATAAATACCGGTTTTACCACATTTAGCACCATTCAGTAAGAAAACCAGTTGGAAATATCTGGGAAATGTCACCTCTTAAGTGATTTCCTCCCCCGCTTCCAAACCAATTATCTTGCTTCATTTCATAACATGCACAAAAATGCATCTATTAGTGAATCTGGCATACCACTATGTTCTGCCAAATGTGCATATCAGGTAAAAACTACACAAAATTTGCATGAGAATGCTGATAATTTTTCAGGAGAACTTAAATAAAAAAAGCAAAGCAATGTGGAAATGTGGATAACTGAGTTAAAAGGTAAAGGTAAAGGACCCCTGACAATTAAGTCCAGTTGCAGACAGCTCTGGGGTTGCGGTGCTCATCTCGCTTTACAGGCCGAGGGAGCTGGCGTTTGTCCACAGACAGTTTTTCCGGGTCATGTGGCCAGCATGACTAAGCCGCTTCTGGTGCTCATCTCGCTTTACAGGCCGAGGGAGCTGGTGTTTGTCCACAGACAGTTTTTCCGGGTCATGTGGCCAGCATGACTAAGCCGCTTCTGGTGCAACGGAACACCAAAACCAGAGTAGCGCACGGAAATGCCATTTACCTTCCCGCCTGAGTGGTACCTGTTTATCTACTTGCACTTTTTGGCATGCTTTTGAACTGCTAGGTTGGCAGGAGCTGGGACAGAGCAACAGGAGCTCACCCCATCACAAGGATTCAAACCACCAACCTTCTGATCGGCAAGCCCAAGAGGCTCAGTGGTTTAGACCACAGCGCCACCTGCGTCCCTTAATTGAGTTT